ACAAAATTAGGGAATTGTAGTTAAGGAGACAAACAAAATGGCATCTGTCTGAAATGACTATATTGTACCCTACTTGCCATTTCTGAAAGAGTCTGATTCCCTTCCATTTAATTTGCTATTTTAGAGAATGACCGCTGAGTCATGAACACATCTTTGCTTAAACTTTCAGTAGAACTTCAATTAAAATAAATGAACTGGTAGGGCAGACAGGTATGTTTGATGGGTAATCATAGAATTACAGAAGATTAGAGTCAGGAGAGAATTTAGGAGGTCATGTAGGCAAGAGATAAGGGTTGAATATGCCTTTTTTTGCCAATTTCGAAAAGCTCATTCAAAGTTTGTATGTAATTTCAATAATGATTTCACCAAACAATCCATTTACATTTCCACATAAATCCATTCTTACCTCCTTTGATTATTACTATTGGTGTTGAAATATCTGCCGAATCTTCCATCTGAACGATCTTTAACTTTAGATAGTGAGTTTCATTAATTCCCTTTTCATATCGCCTCAGTCACAGAATCATCAAAACAACAACTACAAAAACAACAAAAAGCCCCAATCCAAAAAGACCCCCTCCCCCCACCACAACTCTACAAACTGGCAAAAATATATTCGATCTTTGAATCTCTTTCTCTACCAGTGCTGGATGATTCCATGCTGTACATTTTCTAAAGACATGGGACTTTCACCACTTCCCATGTAAAATTATCCATACTGAGTATCAGAATTTACCTCTTAAGAGCAGTTTTGCAAAAACAAAGAGGGGAAAAAGGGAATTCTATCTATAACTAAGAACACCAGAGACACATTAAAACACTGGTGTATTGCTGGAGGCAATGGGATGAGTAAGAATGTTTTGGTGATAAACATCTACCAAGTAAGTGCATATTCTTGCATGACTTGAATGCTAGTTCTCTTAAAAAAAACCACACACTAAAGCCCAGATCATTACTTAATTTAGGAGATCATGTATTTTAAATCAAGACAAGCAAACTATCCTGTTTATAATTCATTTTATTCAGCAAAAAAAAAACCTGAATCAATTATCTTACACGAGTGCATATCAGTTCCCTGATATCCATATGCCGTAAATTTATTTCTGAGGTTCACTGCCACCACAGTTTTCCTAGTTCTATCTCTGGGCTCTTAGAGAAAGAAATAAGATCTTTGGTCTGAGTCCTGATAACACTTTAGCTTGTGATTAACTTTTCTTACAAGTAGTACAATGGCATTACTTAAACGGCAGTACATTTTAGGGTTGCCAGATGTCCGGTTTTGAACCAGACAGTCCGGTATTTGAGCTTTCTGTTTGGGAAACAAATTGAGAAAATATAAATGTCCAGTATTTTCTAAATAAGATGTAATGTAGATTGTGATATAATGTCAAGTGTGTCCAGTATTTTTGTTGAAACCATCTGGCAACCCTAGTAAATTTATATAAGTATATAAGTATTTGCAGGATTAGGTCCTGATCCAGCAAAACAATAACATTCAAGCATGTATTTAAAATCTATTTATTTCAATGGGGCTATTCATGTGCTTAAAGATAAGCAAATGTTTGTATGCTTTACTGAATTGAGGCCTTAATTATTCTGAAATTATACAAAAATTAATTATGTGTTTTCATTAACATTTCTTAAAAATTAACTCTCATTTTTTCAGTTTTGTAAGGCCCTATGCTTCAATGTGCTGAGCACTTTTTTATTTAAATGAATTGTCTGGTGGCTCTTTAATTTACATTTATTTGAAACGTCACTCAGACTTCTGTGTGATTCTGATACCGTTAACAATTATTTTCCTGTATTGAGTATAGTACTGCATACCTTTCCAGGATTTTAATGAGCATTATTTCATAAAATCAAAAATCACAGCCAGTTCAACACCCCTGTTTCCTGCTCTATTATGAACTTAAACCCCAACCAAAAATGTCTTATTTTTATCTGAACCACACTGCTGCAGTAGCAGGCAACAGCAGATTTCTGAAAACAAAGCTTCTACTAAAAGTAAGCTTAGGTGAAAATAAAGGTGTTCAGATTCAAATTGAACTACAAGATACAATCTGCAAGCATAATAGTGGATTTTCCAAGCAAGTGAGCAATATATTCCCATGTAACCCTACCAAGCCCTAAATGTTTACACAGCTCTAATTTGAACTATCGAATGAAAACAAATACTTTAATGCACCAGGCTTTGCAATTTTCCTTTTTTGTGAGGAGGAGGGAGAAGAGTTACAGATTTAAGTTGAGATATTTTGACCATTTCAGCAGAATTTTTTGTTTTAAACTTCAGCCTACATCTCATTTAAACATAAGTGCAAAATGAAAGAAAGTTTTTAAATGAATATATTGAGAGAACACCATTTTAGTGTTCTAGTTTAGTGTTTAGTGTTTTAGTGATGCTCAGTCCTGGCATTAGGAATACTGTAATATTTTGTCCAGAACAGATAACTATATCACAATCAAAAATTTGGAAGAGAACTAAGTAGAATTAAAGGGGTCAGGGATTTTAATTCCACTTCTCAAGGAAAGAACTACTGTCTGGGGCCAAATTTTCCCCTCATACAAATGCAATCTAGTACCACTGCTATACATGATAATTGCAGGCAAATGTCTACACGATTTCGTAAATTCAAACTTTTATGGTCTAAAGGAAATTTTTTTCATGTGCATTTAGATTCCAGAACTTTATTTCACACTAAAATGTGTGTCCTACCAATTTTAGAGCAAAAACTAAAGAAATGGTTAAACAATTAAAAAGAAAATCTGATTGGGAGACTATTTTTGTATCCCTCCAATTTCAAGGCCAGGCTCCATTAATGTCATGTCCAGCTCTCAGAGGCTGAACAAATAAACATAATTTACATATTTTAAATATTTCTAAATTAACAAATATACTTTTCAAAACTCAAAAACATCACAGCTTTTAAAGGCTGATGTCTCAGGATCTTCCAAGACTAGTCCCACTGGGAAACTTGGGATCTCCCCTTTCCAGTGATAAGAAGATGTGATATCTTACCCTGAAGGACTGTGAGGAAATGTAAAACTTTTTTGGACTATAGGAATAATTATTGCCCCAGGCTAGTGTAATTTAGGGAAATACATTCTACGTTGAAAGAAAAGAAGGAAACATTTCTCAGGCATGTTTTTTTTAATGTCACTTTAAAGCTGCTCAGATTTGGAAAGTCTGAAATAGTCCTGTGGGAGATGGATTAGCGGGAAAAGTGCTAGAAAAGCTAAATGCAGTTAATCATATTACTTCACAATTTATCCCATGGGTATTACCATCACAGATCTAATACAGTATATATGCCTGTACTTAGAATTGCCAATATATCTATACAGTTAAATATGTACCCTTCAGAAATTATTGTTGAGTAAAACTTGGATTCATTACAGATACTTTTAATAAAAAGATTCAAATTAAAAAAGATAAATATTTCAAATATTTTTAAAACTACAGTCCTGATTGTGAATACGTTAAATGTCAAATACAGAAGCCAGATTAACACTCCTGTTAGTAGAGAAGTAAGGAAGAAGATTGTGGCTTCTAGTTTTGTTTTTTGTTTTGATATTTTTTCAGGCAGTGGGAGCAATACATTTTTTATTTTCTTTATATTATTTAAATTAAAAGTTTGATTTTGCAGCAGCAGTGACGCTAATGCCACCAAATTGGTTATCATTTGGAAAGTTTCCCCATTCTCATTCCATTGAATTTTCTTGCAAAGGTAATTTTACCTTTCCTAAGGGAAATAAATGTATTTGGCAGTTTCTTAGGAGGAAACAAATCAAAGGTACAGTATTATAATGGTAGATAACAAAGGATTAATGCCTCCACATTTCTTGGTGGGAACCTGTCTGAGGCTACGTCTAGACTACAAGCTTCTTTCGGAAGAAGCTTTTCCAGAAGAGATCTTCCAGAAAAGCTTACTTCAAAAGAGAGAGTCCACACAGTAAACGTACAACAAAAAAGCGATCTGATTTTTTGAAAGTATCCACATTGATTGGATGCTATCTCACATTTAAGTTGAGATTAGTGTGGATGGAGTGGCCACCAGGGCCCCTGAATTATTTCCTAGAGGCCTCTTCTTTCAAAAGAAAACCCTCATCCACACACGCCTTTTTCTGAAAAAGCTTTTTCGGAAAAAGGCTTCTTCCTCGTAGAATTAGGTTTACTGCCATTGGAAAACCCCCTCTGTTTTTTTGGCTTTCTGTCGAAAGAACTCAATGGCAGTGTGGACGCAAGCATTGTTTTTCTGGAAAAACGGCTGTTCTGGGGAAAACGCTGCAGTGTAGATGCACCCTGAGAGTGGAGGATTTTTAATTGACAGTTAAAATGAACACTGAAAATAATCCAGTGGAAACACTTAGGAAACAAATCTTAATTATTTTTTACTGAACCAAATTACAGTATGGTATTTGGACCTATTCCAATCCAAAAATATTGTTCAGTACAACATACTATGAGGAATTATTCCCATAATTGCCCTTACCATGTAATTTATAGGGCCACTAACATCATGTACACAAATACAGTCTTACACAAAATTCTATGTTCCTTGCAGAATTTTGAACCATTCTAACATTAGCCATTGCATACCTTTTCTCTTTGTATCTATCTATACCTTAATCTCAATATCACAAGGTACCCTGTATTGAAATAGCTTCAGTTTGCATTTTCTCTCCCCAACCTGCCTTGTTTTAGAAATTTCTGATGTGATAATCGTGGTGTGATATATAGTTTACAAGTAAGCAATGGTTTAAACTTTCTTATTCACGTCTTAATTTTGTATAGGAAGTCTTTGAGAATAGTATTTAGAAACTTCTGAAATGTGCCTTTTATGATAAATATGGTTCAGCACTCTGGGCTGAATAAATGTCATAAACCCCTGCCATTTTCATTTCAACGGAATACCAAGAATTTCTCTTCCAAAAATACAATTGGTACAGATGTGGTAGGTGAAGAGGAGACAAAGACAAGTGGTGCCAATATCTGAGGACTGCCACTGTTTCCTCACCTGCCATTGCACAAGAATTTAAAAGTGACAGCTTAAAATGCAGCTATTATGTTAAATATTCACATCAATAGAGCTTCAAAGGAAGCCCACTTTAAATAACAGCATGAATGGTCCTGGCACAGGCTGATTAACATGGATTAGACATACCGAGAAGATGAAAACAATGCTTTTCACAACATATCTGGCCTTTTCTTTCTTTTTTTGTTGTTGTTTCCAAACAGGCATGTGTAAACAAGGAGTTGTGAAAAGAAAATCGATTCTATTATCAGGCATACGTTCCCAGTAGTGGCAAGGAAGGGTACAGTGGATAAATCATGGTACAGTTGTTTCTGCCAAGTTTTTGGCAAGTTTTTGAACGCTACAGCGCACTGGACAAGTGGGTTCCATATGGACACTCTGAGGAGAACAGGTCTTTGGAATGCCATGAGTCATGCAAGTCCATACACTACAAGAACACCGGGTTACTAACGACATGCAGAAATTTTCAAAAGTAATCTCCCAGAAACTAAAATAAACTAGAATGAAGGCTTAACTTATCTCACAACTTTGAACCATCTATTGTGCAGATTTCCCTTTTTGTCACAAAAAGCATATCTTTTTCTGTTTGCTTCAAAATCTAAATATCTGGAAAACCTCCAAGAATTCCAGGTAGAACACTTCACACTCCAGGATGATAAACTCTGGAGTGTCTGGAGTTACTACAAATTAACACCGCACAGCCAAATTTCTCCTCATCATTTTGCTCAAAGTTCTATGAGGTTTTTTGATAGCATAATGTCAGGAAGACTCCTCAGAGAGCCTTACTACTAGATGCAGAGTTTTCTCCTCAAACTTCATGGAAACAAGACAATGTCCAAAATAAAATAGAAGTCATATTACTCACACCCTCTTCAAAGGGATTATAGTATTTTGAAAAGCTCAAGAAATTAGTTCTTAACACATCAAAGAAATCTGACTGGACATTAATAAACACCAACAAAGTGATATACTCCTCAGGACTCATTACACTATGCCCAGCTACTAAATCTGCACTCCATACTGCAGGCCAACCTTTCATGCTTGCAAAGGAAACATCATCATGTCACATGTAGGTGTTTTTGTTCTTTTGGCAGCAATGGGACACTGATGGCTTGGAGTGTGCTTGAAATGTCTCCAAACTTCATATCTGAAGCCTTAAACACATGAGCGGGCATGTAGCACAGGCTCTGGGGGATTGGGAAGTTACCAGAGGCCAGAAAATACACATGTCCATTAGTACTCATCATAATTATTGAACTCTGTAAAATAGGCATTAGAATAGGTCTTTGCACTAAGATGTGGATTGAAGTATTTGTTTCTCTCCTCCAAGATCAGGTTGTTTTTGTTAAATGCCTAGAAAAAACAAAAACAAAATGTAAAACACAAAGTATCATTTTAAAAAGATAATTTTAGAGGGAAAACCTCCAGAGCCACAAATTCAAACAAAGATGCAGCCAGAGTGCCTCTGAAAATATTTATGTTTACTACAAAACCCTGTATTTGCATGCATAATGTGATACATTAAAGGTCCCCCCCCCATCTTAAATAACTTTTTATATTCCTTTTTATAGTATTTGCACTGTCAGAACAGTTCTGTACATATTTGTTGACTTAAACTTTCTGTATAATTTCCCTCTAAAGTATGCATGCTTTGATTCTAGTGTAAAATTTTAAAGAGCATCTAAGTGATTTAAGAGTCTAAATTCCATTTTAACAAAAAAGATTTCAGGGTTAGATTTTCAAAGATATTTAGGCACTTGAACATGAAGATAGGTCCCCAGTGGAATTTTCAAAAACATCTACTGTAAATAGGTAGGGCTTCACTCCCATTGTTTCCAAAGCATAGTATCTCTTTCCTAATTTCCTTGATTTTTTTTAATTTAAGAAACAAATGGAAAAAAGGAAAAGAGAAAAAGATTCACCAGCCAGGACTTCACAAACTCGTCACAAAATGTTGCTATAGTATATAAATGCTATAGTCTGAATATATTTAGCTAGATAGTATTCAAATGTATAATGTTGCCTACTGTAGGAATTTTGGAATAGGGAACTGTTCTGTAAGGTTATAAGTGTACTTGTCATCATTAGATTTATTCTAGGTAGATGTTGATAAATGAAATTTCATCATACACATAGAAATGAACAGTATTTCCAATGACAATCAAAATTTCATATGGAAAATGAGAAAAATTCTGCTTCAGAACTCAGAGTTTGATTTAAAGAAAATTGCTTCATTTATTTTAATGTGCAAGGTTGACAATTGATGTTCTAACAGTTACAAAGCTTTAATTTTTTGAATCTTTAAGTCTAATGTCATTGCCTGTCCCTTCCCCATTTCCAGACTTCTTCCATAATTTCCTAAAACTTTGAAAATTTAAATTGATAAAAAAGAGAAATGCTTAAAACACATAATTTTGTACATCTGTGAAAATTTAAATAGATAAAAATATAGAAAATGCTTGAAAATAATCATTGACATTGTCCATTGAAACTCTATAAACATAAACATTGAATTCTACAAAGCTAGATATAAGCAGTGAAACATTACAGAGGAATTTACAATCTATGGCAAAGAAGTGTCGCTATCATGCCAGATTCCCAGCTGGTATAAATGTATGCAGTCTGATTCACACTGTGCTATGCAGATTAACACCAGCTGAAGATTTGGTTCAAAGATTATAAGGCAGAAGGGACCATTGTGATAATTTAGTCTGACCTCTTTCATAACACTTGCTTACGGAACTTCCTTACATTAATTCCTGTTCCAACTAGAGCATGTCTTACTGAGAAACATCCACTGTCAGTGAGGAAGAATCTACCACAAGCTTCACTGTTAAAAATATGCAACTTATTTCTGGTCTAACTCCAACTTAAACCACGAAATCTTATTGGAGCGTTGTCTGTTAGACTGAAGAGTGCATTGTCAATTGTTCGGTCCCCATGTAGGTACGTATAGACTGCAATTAAGTCTTTCCTTTACCATCTTCTTTTGACTCTCTTCTGGACCTTTCCAACTTTTTAATGCCCTATCTGAACTGTGGACATCAGAGCCAAATATAGAAGTAATATAAACTTTCTACTCCAATTCAGTATTCTCTATTTATATAACCAATGATCACATTAGCCCTTTTGGCCACAGTGTCACACTGGGAGCTCATGTTTAGCTGGTTATCCACGATGAATGTCACATTCTTTTTAGAGTCATTGCTTCTCAGGATTCTGTCTCCCATTCTGTAAGTAAGACCTGCATTCTTTGTATTAAGATGTATTGCTTCCCATTTGGCTGTACTAAAGCACATATTTCTTTGCTTGAGCCTAATTTATAAAGTAATCCAGATCACTCTGTATCTCTGTCCTCTTCATTATTTACCCTTCCCTTAATTTTTGTCATATGCAAACTTTGTCAGTGATACTTCATTTTTTACCAGTGATTTTCAAGAACACATAAAAGTTCAGAAGGTAAATCACACATATAGTATGGGAAAGAGGAGAGAAGTTTTTGCTGCCTACTAATTAAACTAAAGGAAAATCACCGGCACTGTCACTAGGTATTTTTGCACCCAAGGCAAAATATTAATTATGTGACCCCTCTCCCTAGGTTAGCACACATCACGGACTTTACTTTTGCAGCTTATTATTTTTACGTGTTGAATCTTTGCGCCCCTGATTATGATGCGCCTGGGGCGAGCACCCTGCTTGTCCAGTCCTTGTTATGGCCCTGAATATAACTATGATTGTTAAGATCCAGATCTACTTTTGAAACCAGATTCTAAAGGAAGATGGTTTCAAAGAAAACACTTGAGCAATAAAAAATTTTTTAACAAAGGCCAGTGGTGCACCATATAATGATATAGTCAATACATTATAATACAGGCTGAATCTCTCTAATCTGGAACTCTCAGGACCTTATGGGTGCCGAACAAGAGAATTTGCCGAATCATGGGAGGTTGGTATTGTAGTGAGTGGGTCTCTTTATTTTGTCAAGGTGAATAAATGGAATAGCACTTGCAGTGCTGCTTAGTAATGTATGACTATACTGATATACCCTATATAAGCCTATGCCTAGTCAAGAGTTATCAGTTCTTTTTATAACAAAGAGTTAGTGTTGTTATTACTGTGTTGGCAAAAGGAAATAAGTGGATAAAACATAAAAACCATGCTTACACTTAATGGCATTACCAACACATCCACTGCTGACTGGGCTCTTAGAAGACATTTAAAGGTAAATTAGAACTAAATAACAGCATAGAACACTGAGAGCTAGTACTAGTGACTATGAACAAATTGTACAGGACCACAGGAAACTTGGCCACACCCACGAACACTGAGAGCTAGTACTAGTGGCTATGAACAAATTGTACGGGACCACAGGAAACTTGGCCACACCCATGACAAACAGACATCGGGCTAACTAAAATCATGTCAAACCACAGACGTCGTCAAACCGAGAGAGAGCTGGACTAGAGAGGTTCAACCTATACCATATTCAACCTATCTAGGCTGGTATGATAAGAAATCTATAATTATTACACTACACATTTATTTTAGCTATTCAAACATCTGATATTTGTATACTTAATATGTATACGATCTTGAGTCCAACTTTTACTGTCAACATGTATAATTAGAATTCCTTTGGTGCATGGTAGATACTATATACAGTTACACATAGCTCCACATTGCAGATAGCTCTGTCCATTGCTTACCTTGATGGCTTCCACAGAATCATATTTGTCCAGTTTGTTGATATGGTTAGTGATACTGGTGTTAAGTGGAGCTGGTGATACTGGATGGATAACAGTTGCATCATGGGATTGCTGCTGATATCGTTGGCAGTAAGTGTAAACAAGCAGTGTAAGGAGGCAGCCAAGTATAGAACTGCTCAAGCCCACTGCAATCATGTGGAACATGTTGAACTCTGCAGAACGGATAGGAAAAGACAGCGTTATCTTTAAGGCAGTCACAATAAAAGAGTTTTGAAACATTAGGCAAAACACAAACAGGTGATTTGATCCACAAGGGAATAAAGTATCTCATGGCGTTATGCATTTCTTGGAAATGCCAATTGCCAAGCTTTTTACTTTTAATTGAACATACATTGCATGTCCCTAGAGATCACTTTCAGCCTTTTAGATCACTACATCTGGAGTACTGTACTATTGATTATGGCTGGGTTCTCAAAAGATGCTTAAAGGAGCTGGGTACCTAGCTCCTATTGAAATTAAGTGTCTTGAAAATCTCTGTTAAAATTCAGTTCTGTAAATTGTACTGCAAAGTATTCAACATCATCATTTTAATATTTTTAAAAGGTATATTATTTATGCTAATTCATTTTGATTGAGTGTAATTATCTCCTCGGGGAGCAAGAAGGATCCAGCACCTACAACTGCTGGGTTTCCAGAGTCCCACCCCACCACCTATGCGGCTCAGCATCTGTGAACTCCAGGGTCCCCCTGCTGCCTGGTGGCTCGGAACTGCTGGGGGGCTGCTACTGCCAGCTCCAGCCCTGCTACCCTGGGGCTGAAGTGGAAAATGTCATGCAGGACTCTGGAAGTCACGGATTCCATGACTTCAGTGCATAAGCACAGTGTTAATTATAATAGGAGGTATGTGGCTAAGGATCTGGGCCATAGTGTCTCTCCTGAAAACTGAATAGTAGCACTGGAATATAAAAAGGGAGTTCATTGGAAGTCTAATTTCAGCAGGCACATAAATCAGAACTTGTATGTCTCAAATAGGTTTTAGGTGGCTAATGTGGGTACTAATGTATGTAAGTGGCCCCATGAATTGCTTTCTATCTTTTGGAAAAAGTTTTGCCCAGGAACAGTTTGGTAAAAAAAAAAAAACAAAGTGTGGAAGGCAGAAAACAATCAATTCAGAGTGAATGTCAGAGTAGAACTCATTGCACACAGTGATGCCTTCACTTTCCCCAGGGAAATCACTCCCCTTCCCTGTCATGAAAAATTGCTTCAACTGTACATTAGAATGCTAGAACCCAGAGTGTCAGCTGTAGCTAATTGCATAGGGTATGTCTACACTACCACCCTAGTTCGAACTAGGGTGGTAATGTAGGCAACAGGAGTTGCAAATGAAGCCCGGGATTTGAATTTCCCGGGCTTCACGAGGAGTAACGGTAGTTCGGAATAGGAAGCCTAGTCCGAACTACCTAGTCCGTGCCGCGTGTAGCTGCGCGGCACGGAGTCCACACTAGCGGACATTTAAAAATGGCGGCGCCTGGCTTTATGCAAATGAAGCCTGGGAAATTCAAATCCCAGGCTTCATTTGAAACTCCGGTTCGAACTAGGGTGGTAGTGTAGACATACCCTTAGTGGGTGCAATTGTTAAAAATTGAAGTATTACTTTATTTTTACATTTTCCAACAATAATTTCTCATCCCGCTTAGGACCTATTTTGCTAACATTGTGGTAGTTTTACTGAGAATTTAAAAAAAATTTTTGGCAGCTTGCCTAACGATGAATTAGAGATACAGTCTGAGACACTACATGTGTGAGTAAGCTGATTTATAATTAGTTATGCATTTGGCTCCCAACGAAGAACAGTGAAATTATTATCCTGGATTGGTGCAGTGACTTTCCAGATTTTCGATCTGCAAATAACTTGCTTATAATAGGGCTTTCTCCTGCTGTGAGAAGGGTGACTGCCCTTGGGGGTGGTGGAAAGGTGAGAGAAACTATTTCTGGTAACACACTGTTGACTCAAAAGTAGGCAGTGGAAGTCAGACATTTAATGAGGAAACTTCTATTTTTCCCAGAAAGTGTAAGTAATGAGAATATGGTATTTAGCAGGTAGAGTAACAGAAAAGGGAGCAAAAGGTAGAACAAATGGAGAAAAACAGGAATCAATTACATGGTTTTTGAAAAAGGTAAAGATTGTGCTACAGAGAAAAGAAAAACTTACCACCACATAGTTTTTCTTCGATGCTACTCGATCTTGCAACTGATATTTCTAGAAAAATAAATAATATAATTACAATGTAGAGATAAAACACAGGAGACATACTAAGTTGATGAATAGAGAATAAGATTTAAAAAAAAATTATTTTACCATATTCATTCCAGATTAGAACTGTGTGAAAAGATTTACCACCACCTCTGGAAACTGGCCAAGCTCCACAAACAAAGCACCACCCTTCTTAGTTCCATGAAAAATAACATAGAACAGTTTTTCAGGTTTGTCTGAAAACTCTCAAGAGTTAAACAAATGGCAGATACTGCAGTTAAGAAACTTCATTCAGTGTCAAGCCATTTCTCCCGCACAAAATGGGGAGTTTCTGAATGAGGAAAACAGAGAGATGGCAAAATCTACAGATGATACTGAACTGCTCAAGACTGTTAAGTTCAAAGCAGATTGTGAAGAGCTTCAAAAATCTCACAAAGCTAAGTGTCTGGGCAACAAAATGGCAGATGAATTTTAATGCTGATAAATGCAAACTGGTTCATATTGGAAAACATAATCTCAACTATACATACAAAATGATGGGGACTAAATTAGCTGTTATCATTCAAGGAAGAGATCTTGGATCTACTGTGGATAGTTCTCTGAAAACATCCACTTTTGTGAATTGAGAGAGCCAATTAAGCAGACACCAATATTCTTTTGGGAGGCACTTAGGTTGATTTTTGAGGGGTGAGTTATAGTAAAAAGAAAAGATTGCTGGAGATGGAGAAAAGAATCAGGAGAAACACTCATGGAATTGTCTTAAAAACTGATTTTCTGTCCAGTCATTTTATGGTGAAATATATACTTTACTAGCAGATGTGGAAAAGATATCTTGGATTTTGCATGTCTTTCATGCCTCAGACCATTTCTGCTAAACAAGAGGCTAAGTTTTTATCTTCATTCAGCTGTGAAATGAACCTTGGCACATTTCAAAGAGGAAATTACCAGTCCAGACAAATATTATTTTTGTTGGTTAGGTGCTGACAATGCAATTTGTCTGGATAAAGCATACATAATCCTTTCCCCCAAGCAGTTTACAACCCAAAAGAGTGAAAGATAAAAACATGCTGTGGAACCCAAAAGATGGCAATCGTACAATGCTGATATTAGCATTTCTGAGCATCACAGAGCAGGTTTTCGGGGGGCCTGAATAATGAGAGGGAGGTATAACCCAGTGTGCCTCGGTTTCCTTTTTAATCAGCAGGATAGATTTGTAAAGGTTTCTCTGCTGTGCCGAGTTTCAAAATTGTTTATAGGTATCAGTTGTAACATTGCACAATCATAAGGCTCTCTAGCAGGCAGTGTGTTTTTAGGTATTCTTCCCAGTGTGGCCTCAGGCTTTTTATTAAAGTTGCAACCTTTTTGCCAGGGTTGACAAATCAAACTCAAATATATCAGGGGGATGAACCTTAACAGTAATAACAAATTTGTTACAAGTGAGCGTGTGTAAATATCTTGGTTATACCTTGCTTCTTGTTTTACCAAATGCCTTGCCTGGCGAGGGGTATGCTCTGCGCTATCACTGTCAAGGCTTGACACTCATTGTTCCCATCAGCAGTGTTGAGTCCTTCATATCTCTACTTTTAAAGGACAGGAAACTGAATCACCCTGCTCACAGGATTCCCTTTGCTAGCTAGGTATGTCCACCAACTGCAGTCCCTCTATGCTTGAAGCATCTACACAGAGACTCCTGCTTCAAGCTCTTGAATCTATCACCACCACCATTAGAGACCAGCCTCTGTTTTAAAGAGATACCAAACATATTTGAAATGTGTACAGGTGAGAGTTTGCCTGCTCCCCCTGCATCCTTAAGTATTCAGTCACAAGCCTGTTCTGCTCAGAAAAGCCAGTAATTCAATCTTTCCTCAGGTCTTGAGGCAAAGACTGTTTACTCAAAGAAACAGCATAGGGACTTTGCAAAGGGTTGCTGATTCAGCCCTCTGTCAAGCCAGCTCCCATTTAGCAGAATGAATTGGAGCTGACTGGAGATAAACTGGTTATAATTGGGGAGCAGACACAGCTGCTCTCTAATTAGCTGGGGCTGTATGAGAAGGGAACTAAGGGGAGGGAAGAGAAAAAGGCAGGGAGTGGAATTAGGGAGGTAGCACTTCCCTCTTGCAGATGCTGAAGAGTCAGCTGTATATGGTGAAATGGTGGGAACAAGCCTGTGTATAATCTGTTACTAACCTCAAGGTCTCAAAGTGCCTTTGTGGATTGGCAGAGGCAAGAGTCAAGGGGATCTGCTCTTCTACAGAGACACTGATGTTACAACAATCTGGCCAAGCACAACCACTATGGCGGTGTCTAGACTGGCAAGGTTTTCCGGAAAATCAGCCACTTTTGGGGAAAAACTTGCCAGCTGTCTACACTGGCCGCTTGAATTTCCAGAAAAGCACTGACGATCTCATGTAAGATTGTCAGTGCTTTTGCGGAAATACTATGCTGCTCCCGTTCAGGCAAAAGTCTTTTTCCGAAAGACTTTTGCGCAAAAGGGCCAGTGTCGATAGCACAGTACTGTTTTCCGCAAAAAAGCCCCGATCGCGAAAAGTGCTTTTGCGGAAAAGCATCCTGCCAATCTAGACGCGCTTTTCCGAAAATGCTTTTAATGGAAAACTTTTCCGTTAAAAGCATTTTCAGAAAATCATGCCAGTGTAGACGTAGCCTACATGTATAGGGCTGTTTAACTCCCCTAACAGCTTTCACTCCACACTGGATCTTTCTAAAGCAACATCAGTTGGATCTATAACATCTCTGGCAGTTAGGAACAGAAGAAAAGTCTCCTAACCAACAGTTTCTCCATACAGTGATTCACCCCGGGTTCCAATCATGTCCATACCTATAACTGCTTGAAAAAATTATCATGAACAATTTTCTCTTCAGGAATCAATCCATCTGTTTTCTGCCCTACAAAAGCATTGCTTATGGAGCCACAACACACTCCCGAGTTTCACTTATAGACAGAATTATCTCTGTCACATTAAGAGCATTTTCACACAATTCCTTTACAAGCAAGCTACTAAACAACATAGTTCAGGGCCGGCCTTAGAAAAAAGGGTACCCTTGTATTTTGGCACCCCTGGGCTATGTCTACACTGGCGGGTTCTTGTGCAAGAACGGCCATTCTTGTGCAAGAACCCGCAGAGCATCCACACTGCTGCTTGTTATTGTTCAAGAAGATTTACAGTATGGCATCGGAAGACAGGGCTTCTTGCACAAGAGCTACACTCTTTTCTAACAAGTTTACGCTCTCTCGCACAAGAAGGCAAAGTGGACGTGCAGCCAGGGTTTCTTGCGCAAGAAAGCCCTATGGCTAAAATGGCCATCAGAGCTTTCTTGGGCAAGAGAGCGCCCACACTGCCATGGATGCTCTTGCGCAAAAGCACATGGCTGTGTGGACGTGTTCTTGTGCAAGAATGCTTGCACAAGAACCCTTGCGCAAGATGTTCACCAGTGTAGATATAGCCCCTGGGCTACGTCTAGACTGGCATGATTTTGCGGAAATACTTTTAACGGAAAAGTTTTTCCGTTAAAAGTATTTCCGCAAAAGAGCGTATAGATTGGCACAGATGCTTTTGAGCAATAAGTGCTTTTGCGCAAAAGCATCCGTGCCCAGTATAGACGCACTTTTGCGTAAGAAAGCTCTGATGGCCAGCGGGCTTTCTTGCGCAAAAAATTAAGGTGCCTGTCTACACTGGCCCTCTTACATAAGTATTCTTGCGCAAGAGTGCTTATCCCTGAGTGGGAGTGTCAAAGTATTTGTGCAAGAAGCACTGATTTTGTACATTACAAAGTCAGTGCTCTTGCACAAATTCAAACAGCCCGTGTAGACAGCTGGCAAGTTTTTGTGCAAAAGCGGTTGCTTTTGCGCAAAATCTTGCCGGTCTAGACGCACCCCTGGAGTTTAAGTATACAGTAGTGTTAGTGAACATTTCAGAAACAAATTGGTAATCTCAAAAGTTTTCATAAATTTACCCAAAAAATTGACACAATTTTATTAAAATAATAAAGTGTCAAAAACTAAATATTAAACTAATGAATAAGAACAGATATAAAATGTTGTTCACCAAGATGCTAAGATTCAGAAGGCAGCACTGAGAGCCTTTGCTGATGCAAACTGTGACATTGCTTGTGACAGGTGAGATTGTGAGCCACCGCATTCTCCATGGACAGGGCATGGAATTGGAGTCTCAGGAGATTAAGGAACAAGTCACGGTCTTGGGGCAAATGAACAAAACTGCTCAGTCTTTTGCTCCCCTGTGTGCAGGGCCTGCTATTGTCCCTGCCCCTTACAAAGGGCACTGTCATTATCAGTGCATCTTGGCCAAGGCCTTCCTTTAAGAGCTATACGGGGAATGGATTCTTTTAGATTAGATTATTTTACCCTAATATGAGGCACAGAAGGCAGGCCGCTATTTTTAAATGGGATAGAGCCTATATTCCCATTGAGTTCCTTTTGAATTTAAGAGTCTGATTGAAAGTGCAAGCCACAACAATTACACATTATTCTCAGATCTTCACGCTAGGAACTCAGGTGACTTCCGGAGCATGAATAAGGTTTGCAGGTTAAGATGGGAGCAAAGAAAATTCCCTTGATAATAACATATCTCTCTCTCTCTCTCTCTCTCTCTCTCTCTCGGTTTCTGTTATTTCCACCCCAATTCATCTGATGAAGTGGGCTTTTCCCACAAAAGCTCATGATTCTATATATTTTGGTTAGTATCTAACGTGCCACGGGATCACTAGTTGTTTTTAAAATTACAAACTAACACGGCTACCCCGCTGAGGTTTTTTAACAAATATTCAAAGCCTGTGTATCAGGTTCCTAGCAGAACTGGTGAATTTGGTAGAATAATAGCATCATAGAACTAGAAGGAACCTCGAGAGGTCATCAAGTCCTGAGCTCATGGAATGACCAAGCACTATTTAGATCATCCCTGACAAGTGATTGTCCAACCTGCTCTTAAAAAACTTCATCAATAGAGATTCCACAACCTACCTAGGCAAAT